ACTTGATTGTCTTTATATCGATCTAATTTTCATAATCGAGTTTAATAAATAACCATTAGAATGCAAATTTTTGCAATTTCAAAGTCAAGATCCACAAGATATTAGGATTGCTTTCTATTCTAACCAAATTTCACTACATTGAACAACACTCTACAAGGGAGAAAGAATATATATATACATATAGATGTATATATGTATGTATATTATATTTCATATTCACTTCAAATTTAGTGAAGCAAATTCTAGTTTAAATAGTGAAATTCTGAAACATGTTAAAGAAAATTTATTTGACAAATCAAGCAACATTTGTCATAACCTTGAGAGCAATTTTCTAGATTCGTGCCAAAATAGAAATTCCTTTCATGTCAAATATATATTTATGAAAGTTTTTTGTGCACTAATTTAGGATGTTTCGTATTTTTTACAAGTAGTTTATTGGGGTCCAAATTTGTCCCAATGATTTAATGTTGTACCTTACCGGTCGGTATTACCGGAAATACAAGATATTGGTGGTTCGATCGATATTGTTATTCTCTAAATATCACTTTAGCTAAAATACAGATTTCATACCGAAAAATACCAGATTTACCGTAAAATGCAGAATAAAAATACCGGTCACAATATCGGTTTATACCAAAAAAAAAAAAATTAAAAAAAAATATTTTTATTATACTTTTATTAATTATTTATATAAATAGGAAGTTCTACACTTATTTTTAAAATCTTTACATTGTTATTAAGTTTTAATTAATATAGTATTTATTAAAGATAGTTTTAAACAATATTTATATTACAATAATAAATTAATTTAATATATATTGAAACCACAACCCGCCTTCTTTATTGCCCGAAAACTAAAGCAGCCACAACCCGCGGCTCTGCACAATTAAAAAAAAAAATGCAAATCGGCCATTTCTTCACGGAGAGTCGCTGCCTTTGTGCGGGGGACGGGAACGACGACGGGTCAGCGGTAAACGACCACCGGGCGAGAACAACCACACAGGGCCACAACCCACGACTCTGCACAACAAGAAGAAAAAAAAAAAAAGCAAATCGGCCATTTCTTCACGGAGGGTCGACGCCTTTCTGTGGGGGATGGGAAAGACGACGGTGGCGACGTGACGCAACGGCTGGGCAGCGATAAACGGCCGTTGGGCGAGGACAACCAAAAATGCGCCAGGATATGTCGACCACGCATGCCATGTACAGCGCCGGAATCGGAGAGTTCTCCAGATCGACGACGGCGGGTTAGTTTCGGCAGCAACATGACCGACGATGGGTGCGGCGGTGGAGCGGCTGAGGTTTGGCGGCAGCCCTGTCGACCTTGTGTGAGTTTCATATTCCTGTGACATAAGGTGTTTTTGTGTGTGTATGTGTGTGTTGTGTGTGTTTGTGTGTGAGAAAGGGTGGGTAGATCCCATCAAATTAATGGTCATGATTAAGTCAAAATTTAGTAAGTCACAGTCAAACATAGGTGGCATTTTCATAAATAATTGTATATAGCATGGTCAAATATAAACATTATAGCACTAAATGGGGGTAAATCAGACATTATACAGTACTAGTGGATCCAATAATACAGAATCATTCTTGTTTCTTTCATTATCCCTCTTTCTGATATGATTCCTTATATATATATATATATATATATATATATATATATATATATATATATATATATATATATATATATATATATATATATATATATATATATATATATATATATATATATATATATATATATATATATATATATATATATATATATATATATATATATATATATATATATATATATATATATATATATATATATATATATATATATATATATATATATATATATATATATATATATATATATATATATATATATATATATATATATATATATATATATATATATATATATATATATATATATATATATATATATATATATATATATATATATATATATATATATATATATATATATATATATATATATATATATATATATATATATATATATATATATATATATATATATATATATATATATATATATATATATATATATATATATATATATATATATATATATAGGGGGCGGATCAAATGAGGACAACTCTTAAAATGAGGACAGCTCTTAAAATGAGGACAACTTGCAACTACAGAGAACTAACCTTGCAACTAGAGAAAACTAACATTGCAACTGGACAGAACTAACTTTGCAACTACAGACAACTAACCTTGCAACTACAGACAACTAACCTTGCAACTAGAGAAACTAACATTGCAACTAGACAGAACTAACCTTGCAACTACAGATAACTATCCTTGCAATCAAAGACAACTAACCTTGCAACTAAAGACAACTAACCATGCAACTAAAGACAACTAACCTTGCAACTAAAGACAACTAACCTTGCAAACTGAATACAACTAAGCATTGCAAATAAAAATAACTAACCTTGCAACAAGATAGAACTAACTTTGCAACTACAGACAACTAACCTTGCAACTAGAGAAAACTAACATTGCAACTAGACAGAACTAACCTTGCAACTACATATAACTAACCTTGCAACCAAAGACAACTAACCTTGCAACTAAGGACAATTAACCTTGCAACTAGAGACAACTTACCTTGCAAACTGAATACAACTAAACGTTTCAAACAAAAATAACTAACCCTGCAACAAGATAGAACTAATTTTGCAACTAACCCTATTTCAATAAGTTTGCAACATATTTACGCTAATTTTGCCTCACCATATTTACTTCATACACAATACATATTATGGTCAACGGGTCAACGGGAAACACCGGAAGTCAACGGTCAACGCCGGAGTCGACGGTCAATGGTCAAAATAATATTTAAAAACTAAAATAATTAAAATAAAAAAAATTATTTAAATAAAGAGTTAAATCTTGGCCACATATCTTGATAATCTTTTAGTGGGTAGGATTGAGTCTCATGTCCTCTTTTTAAGAATGTGTCCTCATTAAAACCAATCCCTATATATATATACTAGTGGGCATGCGGCTGTGCACACACAACAGTACCCAATTTTATCTACAATTAAACAAAAATTTTTAGTATTTTATAATTGAAGTAATAGTAAAATCTTTGTATTTAGTAACTAATTTTATAACTATAGTAAGAATAACTGAAACAATGATAAATATTTGTTGATGTTTTTGCTTTCACAAACATTGATAATTTGCAGCCCAATTGGTAGTCTAAAGTGAGAAATGAGAACAAAAACGTTTGATGAGAAATGAGACTTTAAGAATGGAGAAACAATGCCCAACAGGTAGTCAATAGCCTCGCCTTTTTCAAGTTTTCATCCTGGTGATTTTTGTCAGCTTCAGCCATTTCTGCCTCTACAGGCCATGTTTGAAGAGATTAAGGAGAAAAACACACGAGTTTAAATCAAGTTTGTGAAATTACATATTGATGATGTAAGGCATAGGACTGAAAGTCACACTATGCCTATATGCTATTTGTATCATCCAAATTGTAACCAAACATCTCTTACATATTTCAAATGACATGAATTTGAATACAGGCTATGAAATGACCCGAAATAAAAACTAAATGGAGCCAACAAACAATACTAAACTAATCTCTAACCAACAGATCAGGGGTAGTTCAACTACTACAGTTCATCGAATGAGGCGCAAGACATGTCCAACCTGCCACTATTTAAAGCAAATAGAAGATCAGAAGAAAGAAAATAATATAAATTAATCAAGAAATGATCATAAATGGATTTGTCTATGAGACCGGGGGAACCCAATATCTAACAAAAGCATGCTTAAGCCGTTTTCAGCCTTATGACTGATAAGGTTTTAGACAACTATTAAGTCAGCCTAATGTATTCTACTTACACACCACTTGAAATTGACCAATGAGAATTACAGTTAAATGAGCACAGAACACTAATCTATACAAACTTTCTACCTATGAAAGAGAGAAGGAAAAGAGAGATACTATAAGGGCCTTTTTGGTAAGTATGATTTATAACCTTTATGGCCTAATCATGTATTCTTCATGATACTATCAAATGACTTTCCTAGTGTAAATAAATGGGTTGTCTTGAAATTTCCCCTTCATATCATACTTCATCTCCACATGCTTATCTGGCCACTCATTCAGGAGATCGTGCGTATATGTATGGCAACGCCCCAACCATTCTCCACTAGCTAGCGACATCCTTGGTCACGCCTGGTATAACTCTCTTTGCCATATATGTATGGCAATGCGCCACACCGTCATCAACGTTCAAGATATAACTCGGATACCTTGTTGCACACGCAAGCACATTTCAGCAATAAACACACACACACACATAAGTAAAAAAAAAAAGATTATTGAAAGAAATAAAATATAAATATGTACATAGAATCTAAGAAGATTTAGTAGTAGACCGCAAACAAAGAATTAGTTCTGAAACAAACATCAGATTCAAGATTTAGGCCCCATACTGATACCTTCAGCTCATTCTCAGGTCACACATACAAATCGGAAAACCATACACCACATAACGTATGGGAAAACATAGAACTGAGATCGCTACAAGCCTAGGACTCAAGTCAGGTTTTCTCAGCATAAAACAGAGAGTAGAGCAACATAAAGATTATCAAAGGAAAACAGAAGCATATAGTTAGGATAAAGAAGACAACAACCGTAGTATAGAAGGAGGTCGCGGGACCTTTTGCGGCTCTGCCACGGCTGCCATGATTTTTTATGCTGCTGATGTGAGTGGAAAACCTTTCTAGAAAATGCTGAAAAGTGTTACATGGAATATACAAATGGCCATAATTTAATAGCCTTTAAATCAGAAGAAAAAAGTACGATGGTAAATTGGAGAAAAAGAATTCAAAGAACATCGCAGTCATGGTTATAAATACTGAAAGTCTATGTAAGGCATGTGAGATAACTTTACTAAACCACGTTCACGAATAAAAATATTTCAAAAGAATGCCTTCATACAGTAAAGGAGCACTTACTCAGAGAAATGAACCACTCCCATCAGCTTGGTAACAGATAAACTTGTATTAACTTGACCTGCGCTTTCATAGATTTTCAAGGGAGATAAAAGCAATTCAATACTGTTATTCAAGCATCATTTTGCTTTAAACTGATTATTGTATGAAAACAAAGAGAAAAGCTAAAGATAAAATAGCACTTAGATATGAAGAATTTCAAGTCCCATGACAAAGTGGAAAAAGTGGAACCTTAACGTTTTTTATAGGGATCCAATATCGTTAGACCTTGTTTTAATGCAACAACATAGATTATATACCTTTATTTTCCTTCGTGGAGGAAAACTACAATCACGCTCCCTGGAGACAATTATAACAAAGATGGACAAACAAACAACAAAATTTTATTGTAACAAAAGTAACTTGAAAGAATAAAATAGCATAAACAAGCAATGCCATCATTGGTCTCTCTTTTCCCTTTGGAAAGTCAAACCAACAATCAATCATTTACCAATATTCGAAAACAAAAAAAGGAATTGTTAGTTCTCAAATGGCACGGAAACTAAATTATGGTATGCCAAATACCTTCATCGATTGCTTCATAAAATACAGTAATAAAATCTTGAGCAACCGCATAGCAATGTTAATATGAAATAAAAGTTACTTTGGCATATGAATCACTTACATACCTTATAGACTATCTGATTTGGTTATGCCTTTCAGTACATGTTCTTCAAGCCGTACATGTTAATAGATTATTGATCCCCTTTATAAGAATATGCGCAACAAAGCAATCAAGAAATATGAAGTTCGTCAGAATCAAAATCTTTGCAACAGTTTGTATGACATTATGAAGAATAAATGATAATATGCATGACAAAATAATTGATTATTGAATCCCTTTTGCATATACTAATGTATCAAATAAACACATACTAAAGGGGATATTATAATAAAATTCAAGACTTACAGTTCCTTTCTTAGTTAGGTCGCCGCTCTATAAGTTTCGTAGCAGTACCACCACAAAACAGTAGAGAAATATGCCTTAGCCACTGCCTTCCACAAAGCTTGTTAGTCCTTGAGAACATTTTCATATGATCTATGGAGACCCCCCACAAGCATTTTCCTGCACAATCTTATCAAAAGAACTGAAACAAATATGCCTCCAATAAAAATTCCTCACCATAAATTGATCGAGCTTATTATGGTCGCTTGGGCGGCCAAGGGTGGAGAATTTCTCGCCCACCTGCTGCAACTGGGCAAGGTGGGCATTGATACTCAGAAGCTGATGCACCAGCAATGAGAACATAGGCACGTCACGTGTGACGACATGAGTTGCTCGTTAAACAGGTGGGTCATGCTATCCGGCTTGCACCTCTCGCTCTGCCACTCCACCGCTCCGCGTGGCCCGTGAAGTGATTTGTGTTGTTGTTAATCACATCCACGTAGTCAAACGGGGACGGGATGCCGCCAGCTGTAACCAATCGACTGATATGTGCCATGTCAGCCAATAGGATCACTTTCTGCCTGACCTAGACCCGCAACAGATATGAATAAAGGGACGGTCTTAATTGGAAGGACTATATAACAACTGAACTCACATAAACTAAATAAAAGCATATGCGGAAAAGATCGAATTTTACCTTATGAAAACGTTTGTGAGCATACGCTCTAGCACCAGCAACAATCAATTTTGGAGTACATCACCCTTTTCCAGTAGCATAAATAGATCAAATTAGCATTGTTAGATAATATTCAAAATTAGCATAATAAATAAATGTTGTAGCCCGGAGTTCTACGAAGGCGGGCTGCTTTTCTGGAGGCGACTGGAGAGGGCCGTCATCGGTACCCAGAGAGTGGAAGGTCCTCACCTCTTTCTCCTTCTTTTACTTCTTCTCGTAGCTCTCCTTGTGGAAAGAAGGAGAAAATCCACGTTAAATCCGTTGTCGGTGTCGAGATTCACCGGTGAGGGATTGGTAGGAAAAAGTGCAACAACTTTTTGCAGCTTTTCCATGGCTAGGGTTTTGAATAGAGGAGGGATTGTTATTCCGATCGTTGTTCTGTTCTCACCCTTCACTAAAGTGTAAAGTCTCGCTTAAGAATTAAGCAAAGACTTTGCTAGAAAGATGTCCAATCGCTCGTACGTGCCACAGTAACTTCCATTATGAGGGATTCAATTTACCCTACTAACCCCTAAAAAGCTGATTAAAGAAGGGTTATTTAGGTGAATTTACAAACTAACTTTGTAATACGGCGTCGTTTCGTTGGGAAAAAGTTATGAAAAGAGAATAAATAAATACAAGTAATCAATCGTGGTAAAAATGAGGAAGCAAGCCCAGCAAAAGATGAGCCACGTGGAGGCCTTAGAACTCAACTAACTCAACTCAGAATGTGCCACTTGTCAAGCAGAAAATGTCTCACATTTTTTCTTATAAGAATAAGAGAGATATATATGACAATTCCACTAAGCTACTTAAGCTACTTTTTTTTATTGAAAATAAATTGATATATTTTCAAAATGGATAACATTAGTAAAACTGAGAAAAAAAGTGTATAATTTAATTTTTAATCGACGTAATTCTTTTTCTCAACTTGATTGTCTTTATATTGATCTAATTTTCATAATCGAGTTTAATAAATAACCATTAGAATGCAAATTTTTGCAATTTCAAAGTCAAGATTCACAAGATATTAGGATTGCTTCTATTCTAACCAAATTTCATTACATTGAACAACACTCTACAAGAGAGAAAGAATATATATATATATATATACATATATATGTATATATGTATGTATATTATATTTCATATTCACTTCAAATTTAGTGAAGCAAATTCTAGTTTAAATAGTGAAATTCTGAAACATGTTAAAGAAAATTTATTTGACAAATCAAGCAACATTTGTCATAACCTTGAGAGCAATTTTCTAGATTCGTGCCAAAATAGAAATTCCTTTCATGTCAAATATATATTTATGAAAATTTTTTGTGCACTAACTTAGGATGTTTCGTATTTTTTACAAGTAGTTTATTGGGGTCCAAATTTGTCCCAATGATTTAATGTTGTACCTTACCGGTCGGTATTACCGGAAATACAAGATATTGGTGGTTCGATCGATATGGTTATTCTCTAAATATCACTTTAGCCAAAATACAGATTTCATACCGAAAAACACCGGATTTACCGTAAAATGCAGACTAAAAATACCGGTCACAATATCGGTTTATACCAATTTTTTTTTAACAAAATATTTTTATTATACTTTTATTAATTTATTTATATAAATAGGAAGTTCTACACTTATTTTTAAAATCTTTACATTGTTATTAAGTTTTAATATAGTATTTATTAAAGATAGTTTTAAACAATATTTATATTACAATAATAAATTAATTTAATATATATTGAAACCAGTAAAATAGACGGTAAGCCAGTAGAACTGCATACCAGTGGCTCATCCTGTATGACTACCGGTACAGTATTTAAAACACTAATTGGTCGAATAATTATTCTATATCAGCTAATTTGGTCCAATTTCGATGATGAACACCAGAATCTAACAGTTATTTGTGGCCTGCAATTGATCCAATATATCTCTTAAACTTTAGAGTTATTGGACCACTTTAGACCGAAGTGGCTAAAATTTATAACTTATTGGACCAATTTCAGACTCAATAAGTTACTGGACAAAAATAAAAAAATACCACAAATTAGTGGACTAAGATTGCAAATTTTCTATATATTAATTTCACAAAATATTGACATATTTTGCATCGATTGTTTATTATCAACTCTTCTATACATTTTACATCACATATAGATATCGCTCATCAACGGTAAATTTATTCATCGTCGTTTTGCATTTTTAATCCAACTAAAAAAGCACATGCTAAATCGAATCATATGTAGTTCACCATATAGTAAACATGTTTATCTTTAATTTGTTTCTCATCCGGTAAAAGACCAGTGTTCCCGTTTATTCACAATCTCAAACACAACAAAATGTGAAACAACACTATGATTTGAGTGCTCCTTTAGCTGATTGTAAATATATTTCAAAACATCAAGCAGTGAACACATTCAGATTTACATATACTTTCACTAATAAGTAGTTGCAATTGCATCCCAGCCATTAGAAATTAAAGTTAATTTCTTAATTTAACAATGGAAAATTTTTAATAATGATCTCGAGGGTCTTGCTTATTTTTTGGTACAATCTACTCAATAATAACAATTTTATATAATTATTTTATTTGCACCGCACTAAATAGTAACTTAGCTAAATTAAATTTATCAATACACATATAATCTTGGGAATCCAATATTCTTAACTCGGTTATATATTTATGTAAATATATAGCCAAAGGGGTTAATTCTTAAATCCATATGTTGTGTTCCAGCTTAGTATTTAATGAAATCTTAAAATATGGCTCATTAAATATACAACACAACATTTGAAACTACCTAAAATGTAGTTGTAAGTGAGAAAATCAAAACAATAAATAAAGAAAAAAAAAATAACCAGAACTTGAAGTGGCCCACTTGTTGCGGTCTATATGATTCTAATATGATTGCTAAAAGTTACATATAATCTTATAATCTAAGTGTATATACATGTATATGAAATTTAATGGTTGGATTAAAAAAATAATATATATATACATGTAATGAATTGTGAGAGCTATGTGA